CCAGATGGGAGCTGGATTGGGACCATTTGCTTTGGCTGTTTCCATGGCCATGGCGAGGCACCATGGAACACCTGTGTCCTGCTGTCCTGTGCCTTCACTCCAGCCTTGGGGCAGTGTGGTTGGAAAAACACAGTGGCATAAGGAGGAAATTCTGCACAGGGAGAAGCTGGTCAATGTTGTGGCAGGCCCTGATGCCTACCGTGACCTCTCTGTGCTGAAGTTCCTGTTGGTCTAGGGACAACCTCAGTTGCCACCGGTCCTGACCACTGTCCAGTCTTATGGGCCACAATTAATTTGTCCTGTCTGGGAATGGGTAAGGGAGGTTTTATTTTGTGCTGCAACTTCTCTGTCCAAGTTCTCTCCAAACTCAGGCAGGCTGCTCTCACTTTTCTTCCTGTGTCCATGGGTTTTCCATCATGATTCCCAGCCCATATACTCGTGCCAGTGTGAGGCTGGAGAGCAGCAGCAGTCCTGACTCTGGCACAGGTACAAGCTGCCCGGGGAATTCCCAGGCTGGCAGTGACAGAGAGCTGGAAACGGGGCTGTTGCCTCCCAGTTTCCACTGCTGCTTCCCTGCCTTCAGTGACAGGTACCAGGTGTGCCTCTGTGCTGGGCCATGTGCCCATGGTGCCAGCAGCACAGTGGAGCAGGGTGGTGGCCAAGCAGGAAATCCCAGAGAGGCCCCCGTGGCTCCGCACACCACCTTTGCCCAAGGTTCCTGTTTTGGCAGGGATATAAAGGTGGTGTGGGCAGGGAGAGCCCTGCATAGCGTTGCATTGTGGGGAGCCAGGATGGGAATGCAGAGCGTGGCTGTGGCTTGTGGGGCACTGACCTTGTGCCTGGCACTCACCACCGCCACCAACCCCGGCTTTGTGGTGAGGATCACCCAGACAGGCTTGGACTACGGTGGGTTCTGCTTCTCATTTCTCTCCTGACAGCTGTGCTGGTGGCAGAGGTGTGGAGCCAGGTACCCTGTGAGAAGTGCAGGGTCCCGGGGCGGGATGGGGGATCCTTGGCCATGGGTGCCCATGTGAGGAGCACAGGGACAGGGTGGGGAAATCCTTGGACAGGGGTGCCAATTGCACCATCGACCAGGGCTTCCACTGCTGCATCTGCCTGCCCCCCATGCCACAGCTTGATGGAGCCCCTGCAGAGGGGCCCAGCCCTGTGGGGTGTCAGGGAGCTGCAGCCAGGCAGTGTGGGAGGCTGGCACAGCAGGAGGGTGCTGGTCCCACAGCACATCCAAGCCGTGAGCCCTGGAGGAGGGAGCTGCAGAAGAGAGAGGAGTTGGGGAATTTAGGGAGGGGCAGTGACAGAGATGGATGGGCCCCGTGCTGCTTTTATCGAGGCAGGCAGAGCCCGGCTCCAGCAGAGCACAGTTATGGATTGAAATACACTCTGTGAGAAACACAGAGCATCCCAGTGCCTCAGACCTCATGCAGATCTCACCCAGCACACTGCCTGGACAGTGAGGACTAGGACACCTCCCTCCTTTCTGCAGCCACCACCTTCCCCTGGGGCTGCAAGCAGGGCACCAGGCAGCATTGCCTGTGTGCTCTCAGGGCTCTGTGCTTGGAGGTTTGCTTTAAAGCCAGCCTGGAATGCAGCATCACCTGGATCTCTTTTTTGATCCTTCTGCTGCATGCCCGGTGTGTGCTCCAGCTCCTGTGGCTGGAATGGTGGAGTGGTGGAATGGTGGAGTGACACTGTCCCTGTGTCCCTGTAGCCCAACAGCAGGGGATTGCAATCCTGGAGAAAGAGCTGGCCCAGCTGAAGCTGCCAAACATCTCGGGTAAATCAGGGGAGTTGCACTATTCGCTCTCCAGGTAAGCCTTGTGAGCCTCGCCAGTGGCCTGGAGCCACCCACTGCCCTCCTGACCCTGGCAATGGGCTGGAGGTTTGGGTGATGATGGAGAGCACCTAGAGCAGTGAGGACCATCCTGTCCCCTCCACACCTCGCTGAGATGTGGGCCCTGTCCTTGGTTCCTGTTTTTCTCCTTTCCCAAGGGGGAAAATGGAACTGTGATCACAGCACTCTGGGCATGGGTGGACTGTGTGCAATCACAGCCTGGGTAGTGGAGGTGACCTTGCCTGTGGGACCGGGACTCACGTTCCTATGTGAAGCAGGAGCCCAGTGCCTGTGGAAATGCCAGCTCCCTGCTGCCCAGGTGCCTCTCTGCTCCTGCCTTGGGTTTGGAGCTGCCTTGGGTGGCTGCAAGGGCCACATTCCCAAAGGTGCCACTCTGCACTGTGTGTCCCTGCCCTGGCCTAGCTTTGGAGCAGCAGCACTGCAGCTGGAAATGCTGCCAGTGCAGTGACTCCATCCCGCTCACCCTTCTTCCTTCTCTGATTGTCTCCCTCCCTCCCTTGCCTTGTGCTTGGGAGTGTGGAACCACTATAACATGACTTTTTATTTGTATATTTTTAGGCTGCGCATTCCCACTTTCCGCTTGCCACACTCACGGATTACCCCAATCTCCAACGTGGGCCTGCAGGTCTCCATCTCCAATGCCTCTGTTGAGCTGAATGGGGACTGCTGGGTGAAGTTTCTCTTTATGTGAGTGGCCAGCTCTTCCTCTCCCTATTCAGGCACCCACTCTGTGTTTCCCACTCTGGAATTGGACAGGTTTTTTCTCCTCTCCCTTGTGTTTTGGGCAGCTGTCACTTTACTTCCCTAGATAAAACAAGGTGGGAGGCAGGAACAAGGCATTTGAACGGTGAGCTATACATGGGCCCTCAGATCTCTTCCACCATCCCTACTTGCTCTCATTCCCTCTATTTAAAGGTTATCTGTCCTGGTTTATGTGCCAGTGAAATTTGCTTCCCCTGAATTAGACACTTTCCCAATCTCCTCTGGAAGCACCATACAAGGGGGAGACTGATCCAGATTGATGAATCCTCAAGTAGATTTGAGGTCTCTTCACCAGAGCTAGGCATTTACAAACTTCCCTTTCTTATCCCCCTTCTCCCTGCAGCAGGGGGCCTGGATCTTTTGACCTGAAGGTAGAAAATATCTCAATCAAATTTATCCTGAGACTGGGCAGTGACACCACTGGGAAGCCCACCATCAGCACCTCAGACTGCAGTGCCCGTGCCTCCAAAGTTGGGTTGCATTTTTCAGGCAAGCTTGCGTATGTGACTTCACTGGAAAGTCTGGAAATGCTGTGTGTTAGCACATATGGGAATGCCATGGGAATGTTGCTTTGACATTGAAATGTACTCCCTGTACTCCCTGTAAGGAGTAGCTTGTTGGCAAATCTGAGGTTGCCTGGTCTTAAATCTGGCCTGAATTTCTCCTGCTGTAGCTGCACATTTAAGGGGGTTGGTGGGGTTTACCAGTGAGTCTGTTTTCAATTGTAAACCCTGGGACAAAGCCAGACGCCAAATTGGTGTGGGAGTGATGTTCCCAGGGTCTTGCTTGAGAATGACGTTCTGTATCATCTCCCTTTCCTGGGCACATACTTCTGCAGTATGGATCTGAGCTAGACAGGGCTTCTCTCTGTGTCTCTCTGCAGGTGGTTTTACAACATATTCAAGAAGGGTAATAAGTCCCTGTTGCAGAAGCATTTAGAGACCATGGTATGTGAACATTGAACAGCAGGGCCCTGAGATTCCTGGTTGTCTTTAGTCCTCGCTTCTGGTTAATGTCCTTAAAAGATCAAGTATATGGATAGAAATATAGCCAGAGCACGCCACTGTGGGTGGGTTAATCCTCTCTGTTGCTCTTTCTCGGCCACACCCTGGCTGCTCAGCACGGTTCATTCCTGCATGGGCCACATGAGATTCCTTCCAAGGGTCTTCCCAGAGCTCAACTGGGCTGAGGGGAATTGGTGGAAGCAGATGCTTGTAGGTATAAACCCGGCTTGTGTCTTGGACACTTAATGTCTGCCTAATGAATGGAGGCAATCATCACAGCGCTCATTTACTTAAGCAAGATTTGTCATGGAGCTGGGAGTGTGGCTGTGACCCAGCTGCCCCTGCTCACCTCTGTGGCCTTTCTGTCCCCCAGGTGTGTGACAACGTGGCTAAGTCTGTGCACAATGAGCTCCAGACGTACATCCGGACACTGCCAGGTACTGGGGGGCTGTGTGTGGATTTAGGAGCAGTTCTTCCTGGCTTTTCCCAGCCATGAGGAATGTTTTACTTTGTGTCTGCTCCCCATGTCCTGGTGTTAAGGCACCCAAGATGGGAGCTGAGGAGCACCTTCTCAGATGATACAAATCATTGGGTGTCCTGTCTGACTGTGGGAATTCCTTCAGGATTTGTGCCCATAGGCTGGTGGGGGTGCAGGGTACTTTAACTGGCAATGATGGCCATTCCTCAGATCCAAGAGATGGCAGAGAAAAGTCAGGGTAAAAGTGGGGGTTTTTGCTTCCTAGCAGAAGTGAGCAGAGGAGCAGTTGATACTGAGCTAAAGCACGAGGAACCCAATCATGGCACTGCCCAGATGCCAGTGGGGGCCACATGCTCTCAACCATGTCATTCATACTCACCTCTCTTCCTTGTGTTTGCAGTCACAGCCAGGATAGATGACAAGATAGGGATAAATTACACCTTGGTGGCACCCCCAAGCGCTACTGCCCAGTACCTGGATGCCGACCTGAAGGTGAGAGGCAGCCCTGGGAACCCTTGATTAGGCCAGTGCTGTTGCCAAAGGCAGGTGACAGCCAAGGTTTTGGTACCTGCTGCAAATGCTGTTTGCCAGCCTGAGTCAGCAGCTGAGCCCCACTGCT